TATATATATATATATATATATATATATATATATATATATAGTAGCGGTCAAAAGTTTGGAAACTTTTTAATTTCTCGAATAGCGCGGCCAGTTGAGATCGTAATTATACCAAAGTTAAATATTAGATATAATCATGTGGAAAATATGGCATGCAATGTGGTTTTACGAAAATCAAAAGTCTGATTCCTAAAATAAGAAATGTTCGAAGAACAGCGCGACAAAAGTTTGGAAACTCGCTACCTACCATATCGTTTTGGCTTCTTCTTGTCCAGGTTGGTGGATTTTTCGTAATGTTTAATCAAAGCATGGTATATTGGGGGTTCTCAGATGGGATCAGATAAAGAAGTTCCAGTATCCGTCCAGGAAGCAATTATGGAAGCCATTCGTTCGTAAAGAAGGTGAGTGTGCTTTCCCAACAATATAGTCTCGCTAAAAGCACAATTTCCAAGGTTTTCAAGCGTTATCGAAGCCTAGGATTTGTGATGAGGGAGTCTCGCTCCGAAAGACCACGAAAGACTGCACCAAGAGTCGACTATCCAATTCTCAAGACTTCGATGGGTGATCCGCGCGGCGGTTTCGGATACTCGTAAACAGGTAACATCTTTCCCGGGATTTTTATCAGCCAAAGCACTGTCCAACGTCGGCTCAGAGCCGGAAGACACTTTGTAAGATGTCCTAGCAAAAAACCACTGGTCATCGCAAAGAACCGAAAGGCCCGACTTGACTTCGCGCGCAAGCACCTTGCCTGGAGTAGAGATGGAAAAAAGTTTTGTTCAGCGACGAGTCGAACTTTTGTCTTTTCGGGAGTGGTGGCATAATGTATATAGTCGTCCCGTGAATAAGCGATGTGATCCAAAGTACTAAACCCCTCCGGTCAAACACGGTAGAGGAAGCGTTATGCTATGGAGATGTTTCAGTCTATCCAACGTTGGTCCACTCGCTCGTATACAGGGTAATATGAACTCGGCTCAGTACAAGGACATCTTGGAGAAAGTAATGCTTCCGTTCGCCAACCAAAACCTACCGACACGGTGGATTTTTCAGCACGATAATGACCCGAAGCATACTTCCCGTCTCGTGGCCGACCTACTCCAGTCAAAGGAAATCAACGCTATGGAGTGGCCGAGTCAGAGCCCAGACCTGAATCCTATAGAGCACCTTTGGGAAGAACGGGCACGTCGTACAAGCCAGGTTTCTGTTGGGAATGCCGACAAAAATTCAATCTTTTGTCTAGAGAGTGAGCTCCGATACCACATTCCAAAATTGAAGCCCTAATCGATTCAATGCCAAGAAGATGCAAAGCAGTAGTCGATTCTCTCGGGTATCCAACGAAGTATTGATATTTTGTTTGTAAATCCATGTTACCATGATCAATTTCCCTGGTTATTGTGAGGTTTCCAAACTTTCGACGCGCTTTTTTCAAAACAAATGGTGTTTTTTATTTCTAGTCACATGGTCTCGAAAAAAACACGTTGCCTATCGTTTTCTTTATTTGCTTTTACACCTACTATGCAAAATTGAGACAGTTACGTAATTCAGGGCCCGCGCTATATCGAAAAAAAAAAAGGTTTCCAATTTCTTGACCGCGACTGTATATGTACAAACACCCAACGCGCGCTCCGTCCGCCATGAACAAACCTCCTTAGCTTCTGTATGTTTGAGTAACTCGATCTATTTCCGACTTATTCAACCTTGGTTTCGAAATTTCGCTTCAAGTCTAAACTATCATTTCTTTTTTGCCCAAGCCTCGCCTCCTGTGAGCAGAGTTAAGTCCTGCCGCCCGACATAGGTGCTCCCATCCTGCCGCCTGTATTTCTATCGAATATGAGCGCTATAGGTCCAAGTTGAAATTTCTCGCACCAACCCCGCCTCATGTGGGTGAAATCCGGTCTTGTGATCCACCGTGTTTCTATCCTACCGCCTGCACACCCATAAAATTTCAGCGCTCTAGGTCTACTGCGGGAACAGGAGCTATGAACCTTCACTCAGATCCTGCCCTTGGCCCACTGTGAGCGGAGTCTTGTTTCTTTTCAACAAACTGTAGGTTTCTTGAAAACTCCGCCCAAATTGGCGCACGTTCCTCTCAGTTATAGAACTCGATTTGCCTACAGTTTCCAGACTCAATGCATTTTTTCCCATTCTCCAGGACTTCATAGGTCCGTGTTATGTTCCGTGGATAACTCCGCCCACACTTGCACATGCCCCGCCCATCAATAATGGCTGACTTCATTTCCTTTGCTGGCCCTCATCCACTTTTTCCGCATTCCAGAACGTTTCTAAACAGCTATGAATTTTTGATCTAAGCCCTGCCCATTTTGGTGCCAGCCCCGCCCGTTTCGAGGATTTGACAACATTTATTACCTCCAACCACTTTTTCCCGCATTCTGAAACCTTCCCGGACGAAGGTGCACTGATTTTTGGAAGGCAGCTTTCACCTCAACGCACGCTCCGCCCATTGAAGGCGGGCCTCCGCTGACGTCATTTGTGCTGGAGACACGTTCGACGATGCTTCCTCTACATCAAGTTTTCCTGCTCTGTTGGCTTTCTCCAAACCGAATTATAAATGTTTTCATGAAGCATTGCATTTTTGGAGAACGCCCCGCCCACTGGGGGGTGGGTCTCCCTAGTTCGACCTAACTTACCAATGCACACCTCTAGCCACCTTTACACCCCAGATTTGAAGTCGTCTTGTGACAGAATTTGAAAACATGGTTCTCAGGAGCTTGATATGGTGTGGCCCGCCGGCGGGCCACGCGGTCGTCAATGGGTTAATGAATTCACAAAGCAAGAATCCTTTCTTGCTTGATCTCTGAAGTATACGTAGAAAAAAAAAGGGTAGAAGAGGGCGTTGAGCGAAAAATGATTCCACGATTTCATGATGTCTCGAAGTCAGCACTAGTGCGCAGCTGCCCACCTTTGTTTAGAGAGGCGCTCATTACAAATTCATGTAGAGCTTAGAGACCCCAAACACAGAAGGACCAACACGAACTACTATCTTTTATGTCTAGAAGAAAATGTTTTCTAGAAAAAAGAGAACAAAATACCATATTTTCACGCATAAGGAAACCTGCAAAATTAGCGAAGAGATTAGAGGTATGCATTTAAAAATACGTCTGAGAAAATGTTTGATTAAAGATGGCCACTCGCACTAGAAAACCTTCCCAGGCCCCGATGGAGAAATTCCAGTACAATATGTAGGAAATTTCTGTGTTGTTCATATGGGACTCCTATGTGATCCATATGAAATTCGTATGCATTTATTTGGTATTTCTATGTTTGCTACAATATTCTGGGAACTAACCTGCGCTATTATGGTTGAGGCAATCTTGTCACCCAACGAAAACATGGCACTGCAAGGTGGTCCGATGAAGACAATGTTTCGTGCTGCCAACTGCTTCGGCAACTCCGGGTTTTCCGAAGCATGACCCCAACCTGCCCAGACGGCGTCGACCTTACAATTTCATATCTAGGGCGCATATTGCAGCATTTGAACCCATTTCTTACAACTCACCCCTTTTTCAACCGCATGGTTAACAATTTCTTCAACGTTGGCATAGTTGTTCCGATTGTCACCACCGGGCGAAAAAACAAAATGATCGGCGAGTTTCAAGTACTCTGGAATACACGATGTCACAAAATTGTTGAAGTTTTCGGAGCAAGAAAGTAAGTACCATTTCGCTTTTACAACCGCACGCTTAAAAATTAAGGCCCTTTTCCCTTCCTATGTTGGATCCTCCTCTCTTGAATACTGCCCTCAAAAAGAATATTGCCCCGCCGAATTTGGACATTGGGACGAAAGAGTGATGGAAGCGACAATCTAGAAGCGATGCGCTCTGCGGCGAACCTGCGACTAGATGCACAGAACTTCCTCCAGTTACAGAGAAAGGAAAGTTTCAGACATTTCAGACAGAGAAGAACACATGGCTGCAGTGCAGCACAACATTACTTACAATTAGCAAACTCAAGGGTGGAACATACACACAAGGAAGTATCACAGAGGAATCACACTCCGCTCTTGCACACGACTTCTCCCGTTTGAGGCAATCTATGAGAGTCGGCATTTAGTTCCACTTCTACTTACTTCGCACCTTTCTCGCGCATTCACTCACTGGCCTATAGGGTGACCTCGCTTAATCGGTTGGCTGCTGATCTCTCTGGCAATCTGAGTGAACTGATATTGACCTTATGGATTGGAAACTTTATTATTATTAATATTATTATATTATTATATGTTATTACATATTACGGCACTACCTTAACAAAACCAGTTGAAGGTGATGAACATCCCTTGTGTACTTCCAATCTGTGCTCTTAAAAAGTTTCTTTCGTACTCATGGCACGCCGCCGGCTTCTTGAGCACACATCCAGGTGATTTTGTGACACCTACACAGTTCTGCTTTCCATCTGGTGCAGTGAGTGGTTGTGTAGGAAAAGTCTGCGGCAAAATTTTTCTCATTCGTTGCGCTCATTATGAAAAACTTTATTTCAATCATTTCATGCTAGATTATCACATCTGCGTATAACAGGTAGAAGTTATTCTAAAGTGAATTTGAAATGTATAAGAACAGAATTTTTGTCATGTTTGTGGTTAGAGTAGATGTCAGACTGTTTACGTAGTGACTGATTCACCTCGAACATTCAAAAAGTCGCCGAAGGTGCCAAAACTAACATGAAAAGATTTTTACAAGCCAGAGGAAAAAGTCCTGCAAAATGCAAAAACGGCGTCGCCCACCAAACCTGTCCCTTGGTCCCATGCCCATGGAGCGTCACGCTTACCTCTACTCTAAGCCGTCACTGCTGGACTGCCGGCGACCATGTCTTTTGTGCTTTCTCCTGTTGAGCGCGCTCTTCGGACACCACCTCCATAACTTCGTTCGGAGAATCGTTTGGCAGATTTTGAATGTAGATTCGAAAACAGCATCAAAAAATACTTATAGCAGTGTAGGTCTCATTTCAAATGGCCTCTTCGACTTGGGATCCTTCCCTTGTGAGTATGGTGGTCTACCAGTGAGGTCAGCAGCCAGCCAATTAAGCGAGGCCACCCTATAGCAGATAATACTGCTACAGAAATTGCCGTTGTTTTGTCTCGTAGAAGAAACAAATGTTCTGACGGCTCCATTGTTTTGACATACATTATTTTGACTATCGCTTCGAATAGAGAGAAAATGCTCCGTATATAAGCCCCCCTATGTGCCTTGGTTTATATGTATATCTTTTGCTTGTATTGTGTATATGTTGTTATAAAGGTTTAATTACCCAAGTTTGAGGTACCGTGAAACGTGAACCAAACGATCGCATATGGAGCATCGGCATTAAGCCACGTAACGATATACGCCTCGCAATACGTAGGCTGCCTTTTATATTTTGAGATTTGAGAACAGAAACAAATACTATTTATTGAAAATTGTCTTGCTGCCTTCCAAAATTCTCCACATTAAGATCTATACACTTTTGCATGGGCTCGAACCAGTTTTTGCAGCACTTTTGCCACTCTGATGTAGGTAACTCTAAAACATGGATTCTGAACGCATCAACGGCTTCTTCAGGTGTCGAAAAACGTTGACCTCTCTTTTTATTTTTTACGTACGGGATGAGAAGAAGTCACCCGGGGACTACATGGCTGAAGACTGTCAAATCGTTGTTTTGAGTGCTCAAAAATGCGGTTGTTTGAGCCGATGTGTGGGAGCTCGCATTGTCGAGATGAAGAGTGGTCCGCGTCTTCAGCAGTTGGTTTTCCTGATTTTTTGGAAGTCAACTGGCAAACAAATGGTTGTATACCACTCAGAATTGACTGTTCTGCTTGTCCTAGTGGTACGGTTGCCACATGTCCAGTTTTCCCAAAGAAACAGGAGATCAATTGCTCGGAAGTGCTTGGTGCGCGGGCAGCCTTTGGTGGGTTTCATCTTGAAATACTCCTTCGGTCGACTGCTGTTTCCTTTCGGGCTCATAAGCATAAATCCATGATCCATCACCTGTTTCGATGTCATAGGCGTGTTTCGAAGCACCACGATCGCATTTTGTGAACATTTCTTTCGACCAATCGACACGAGTCTCTTTTTTGGGGGATTGACAAATTTTTCAAAAACAATTTTTTTACAGTCAAATGTTCATGCAATATTGAATGTATGCTGGTCCCGCTAATGCCCAAGGTTGTCCCAATCTCACGATAGGTCACGACGGTCTTGCAATATTTGTTTGTGCACAGTATCAACGGTTTCTGGAACAACAGCTGATTTTGGACACCTCCATGAAACTCTTCTTCGAGTGAACTACGACCTCAAGTGAACTCACGTCGAAAGTTGTAGAAAATACTCACGCGAAAATGCTCACAATTCAACCCATAACTTGGCTTAAACAAAATCTTATAAATTAGTGTAAACAACGCAAATCGCGCTCAAATTTTGCAAAGTAACCTCAAAATAGTCAAACTTTACGATATTGGTGTCAGTCGCTAGATTGCTACACTAGTGTTGCCAAATCTCAAAACATAAAAGGCAGCCCTCGTACAAAGAAGAAGCTCAACGAAGCACGAAGCATCATCGCATTCAACGTGGGTCTTCACAACACGCACCTCTTCGCTTCTTGCACGCTCTCTACTTTCGCTTGCTGTGCAACTACGACTTTCAAATCACTATGAGTCAACAGTATCGCTCATACTACAGTGCGTTTCATAATTATAAGGTCACCCTCGATTTTTGCGATTCTGGAGAAAGCATCCGGAATGGAATTTTTTGGCAAACATAGAAAGATTCCTCATCACAATGTACCTCCGTATTCAAATTTTGGTCGCAATATCCGTCACCTTAAATTTTTTATGAATTTTTTAAAGATAGTGTCGGCTTTTGCACCGTTTCATAATTATAAGGTCACCCTGAGAAAGTAAATGATTTATTAACGTTGGT